GTCTCCGACTGTCTCCGACTGTCTCCGACTGTCTCCGACTGTCTCCGACTGTCTCCGACTGTCTCCGACTGTCTCCGACTGTCTCCGACCCTGGCACTAAGCTCGGGCTCACTGGCAGCCCCCTGCTCTAATGCGCAACGCGCCCTTCTCACGCGCAGCTGTCCAAGATCAAGACGCTGCGGCTGGCCGCCTCCTACATCGCCTACCTGGCTGGCATCCTGGAGAGCGGGGACCCCTCGGCCGCGGGCCACGGCTTCCGCGCGGAGCTGCTGACGCAGGCGGGCGGCAGGAGGCCGAGCAGGAGGGGCACCGACGTGGTGAGTATCTGTGAAACCTGGGGCTGTACACAAATCGAATCTTTTTAAGGATTGTGGAACTAAGGCATTAATAATGGAATCAAATGTTAGACTGAGCATTCAATTATTAATTTTGGCAAACAGAGACGCAGTTATCACGACCTCCCAAACATTAGCATTCCATTGAAAGCACTTAGCTCAAGCGCGCGCGCAGCTCTCTTACCCCTTAAAGTGATGCTAAGGGCCCTTATTGCAGACCTTAACGGCTTTGTACTGTCAGTTCGAAAACTTTCCAAAAGAGGGAATTTCTCCCTGTTTGTTCGGTGGTCCCCCACGCTTTAGTATATAACTCGCGATGACATAGAATACCAGCCCAGCATCTTTCCCACCCCTTAGCCACTTAGCGGAGGGCTGTAAGTTGTCCTTCCCCTCTGTAGTGCACCGGCTGCGGGCGGGCATCTGTCCCGACCGACCGCAGGAGTCCCGCGGCGAGCTGCAGGTCTCGCGGAGTGTCCCGGCGGGCTGTTTGACGCCTATTACGTGATTAGGGAGGGCTCGCGGCTCCCCCCACCCCAGCAGGCCCAGCACGCGCCGGGAGGGTGCGACCGCTAAACATCCCCGCGATGAGAGGGTGCGCCCGCTCAACCTTTATGGAGTCATCTCCCCTCGTTGTGGCGCGACTATGTCACCGCTCCCGCCCCCCTCCACTTCCCACTCCTCATCCACTGCCCCCCC